TTTTTTTTTTTTTTTTTTTTTTTTTTTTTTGAGTGTGTGTGTGTTTTTTCCTGTGGAGTGGTTTGTGGAGTGGTTTTGCTTTTCTGCTCTTTGAGTTGTGTGAACTGTGGACATCTCAGTTTATGAAAGGAGGAAACGGACTCCTAGAAAAAGAGGCCAGGCTTGCCCAGCAGGCCGCGTGCGTGAAGCAGAGGCAGAGCCAGGACCTGAATCCAGGTCTCGCCCGGGTCGTGCTCCTGTGTCCGCGACTTGGTCAGATCCCTCAGTAACCCTGCGGGGCAGGAGGGGCAGTGATATTTTCCGCATTATGCAGATGGGGGACTGATAGGGGCCTGAAGCTCAGAGCTGGGGGTGACTCACCCTGAGTCATAGTACCTTGGGGAGCTGGGACTAGAAGTCGTCACCCCCGGACCTCCTCAGGCCCTGGAGCAGAATCCCTGGGGTGTCCTGACCACAGCTTTGGGTTGTGGCTCCTAAGGTGCTGGGTACCCATTAGCAACTGCATGGCTTTTCCATCCCTTTGCCTCTCTTTTCCCACGTCTCAACCCTCGGTTCCCCCTCTGCCTAGCACCTCCCACACTTGGTCTTCATGCTGAGTCTCTCTTCCTTCCTGCATGTTCGGCTGCCCCTGCTGCCCGGTGCCTCATAGAGTTCCAAAACAGCTCCCAACCGCCACAGCAGCGGAGAAGGGTGTTTGGCACATCAGGAGCAGGGGCGTGGCTGGACGGTGGCCTCTGCCCTCTGCCCGTGGGTTGGCCCTGGGACCCCACCCTCGCAGCCAACACTGTGGCCCGGCTGCTGACAGGGCGAGTGTGGGGCCCCCGCCAGAGTGGGGCCCCTAGGCACCAGAAGCTTCTGCACCTGGCTGTCCCCATCGCGAGGTCTACATGTCACAAGGTGGCGGCACTGGTGGGACAGGTGTGGCCCTTCCCACTCCTTCCTCCCCTCCGCTGGCCCCCGCCCCACCCCTGCCAGGCCCAGCCTTTCCTCCTGGTCGTAGGCAGCCCTGCAAGACCACGGAATCTCGTCTCCTACCTCCGCTCCTCTCTTTCCAAAGCACCTGGAGTCCTCTGGGCACCTCTCCACAAACTTTCCTGTCCTGAGGCTTCCACCCCTGGGCCTGGGGGCTAGAACCCACTTGTTGAGGGAACCGTGGGGAGGTCCAAGCGAAAGACCCAGGGGTCTCCGGCAATGGCTCACTCTTGAGGGAGCTTGGGACCACAGAGTTAGAACACAACAGCGACAAATTTGATCTTGATTCTATACTCTTTTCTGGGCCAGGCTGGGAGCTACCCACTTATCTTCCCCGCCTCATCCACCCCCACCGTGGCCCTGGCAGGCAGCTGCTAATGTCCCCACGTTACAGGTGGAGAAGCTGGGGCCCAGAGAGGCCAAGGTGTTTATTCAAGGTCACACAGCTTATGACCCCCAGGAATTTGAGCCACGGCTGTCTCAGGGAGGTGTGGGAACTTGTCCAAAGTTGCTCACAAGCAAGGGCTAACGGGAAGCTTTTCAAGCCCCTGCCTTTGTCACCGCACAATGCTGTCTCTGTGAGCGTGGCCCCTCGAAAAGAAAACATGTTTTGTCGTTGCCAGAGACGTGATAGCTCTGTAAGAGGAACACAGAAATCAGTTTGCTGAGGGGTGAAATATCGAGTCACAGTTTATCAATGACAGTACTTTTCTCAGGGTGGAAGCCCATACCACCTCCTTCCGGTGATCCAAACGCGCATCCTGTGCCCGCCTCCAGCCCCCAAATTTCCATCCTTTGATTCCTGTGTCTGCCTCCCCAAGTGGCCCTGAGCAGTCCCTCCTCCCCCACCCAGCCATCACTGATGCAGGGACCGGCTGAGCCACGAGGATTGCGGTTCTTCTCGGTGTGTACCCTGATTCATGTCTAGTCACACGTCCCCAGGCCCTGAGTCCACAGGATGCTTGTTCACTCTTCATGCAGGTGGCTTCTCCTGCCTGCATCTCCCCAGCCTTGCTCACGTCACGCTCAGGCATCTGCCCTCAGATCCCCTCTGTGAAGCCATTTAACACTGAGCTGTGGACTCTCCACTCCCACCATTCCCCCATTTCCAAATTTCTGCGGACTGTCTCAGAAAGCCAGAAATATCATAAGGGACCACCATTCCCCTCAGTGTGATATAACCGAATTGGAAACTCCGGAAGCCAGGAAGTGAGAGTAGAGTCTACACTCAGCTCCTTCCTTCGGACACAAACATGAACTGAGCACTTTTTCTGTGCCAGACAACGTCCTGCGTCCTGGGACAGAGTAGTGGACAAAACAGAAGTAAAATCTCTGTCCTCCTGGAGCTTACATTCTGGCAGAAGGGGTAAAGGGCTAATAAGCAGATAAATAGGCATAGTACGTAGTTACCAGATGGGGAGACGTAAAATGGAGAACAATGTAGGAAGGAGAAATGCCAGTAGTAGGGCTTTACAGTTTTGAGTAGGGGATCAATTGCAGGGAGAAGGAACGGCAGGTGCAAAGCCCTGAGGCTGCCCGGTGCATTGTGGGAGAGCAAGGAGGCTGGGGTGGCTAGAAAGGAGGGGGCAGAGAGACCAGAGGTAACTGGGATCAGATCCTGCAGGACACTGTGGGGCCTCAGGGGGAATCGGGAGCCATTGCAGGACTTTGAGTGTGTTGGGTGGATAGGAGTGGGTTTGTGTCTTAACAGCCTCCCCAGGCTGCTGTGTGGATACTGGAGTTGGAGGGGGGTGTGGAGTGTGGGGGACAGAAGCAGGGAGACCACTTGGAGTTCGTTGCGATGATCTGAGACAAGCATGCTGGTGGCCCGGACCACTGACGACGGAGGAAGTGGAAGGAAGGGGTCAGGTTCTGGATCTGTTCTGGAGGTAGAGCCAATAAGATTTTTGACGCAGTAGATAGGAGAGAAGAGGAGTTGGAAAAGCGCTTAGATGTTTGGCCTGAGCAGTTGGAAAGTGGACGTTTCTGGGAGCCAGTGTAGCAAAGCGTTGCTGACTGTTACTCATGGCAGCCTCCCCGGCTCCTGCCAAAAGCAAGGGTCATCTGCCCGTGCTCACCAGGCTCGTAGCCCAGCCAGGCAGACAGACAGACAGAAGTAGTTCCAGGGTGGTCATAGAAACCAGAGAGGTTTGTGCTGTGTGGGTGCGTGTGGATGCATGCAGGTGTGCTGTGTCTGTGTGTGTGTCTGTGTGTGTGCTGTGTGTGTGCTCAGGGCAGGGGCTCTAATGCAGGCTGGGGAAACCCCCCCCCCCCGACATCTCTGACTCCGCGTCGCAGGCCATCCGGTGCTGTGGCTGGATCAGGTCCCGGGACAGTCCCTGGCGTTCCAGACCCAACGTTCACCCTGCCTCAACACAGAGACTCCCCAGCGCCACCTGGAAAATTCCTAGAATATGTTCCAAGTGAAATGAAAACGGAAACGTGGCAAATTTCAGAATAGCAAGTGTTTGTGGTTTCTCAGCAAGCTCCGTTTCCGTCCGGGGCATATGGTCTGAGTTTCATATGTGATAGACGCCTCTGCCTCCTCCCCCGCCCCCCCCACACCTCATGCATCTTCCCCTGGTTGTTGGTACTAAGATCAGATAAAATTAGGTCTCCTTGAAAATATTAGATCTTACGTTAATCATCAAGCTCACCAATAGATTCTCGTGCAAATGAAGGGGCAGGAAAATAGTAACAGCAAAATATTTTGGCATTGAGTCTGATTTCTAGGTGTTTCTCAGTGTTGGCCCGAGATGTTCTACTTCCTGTTTGCTGACCAGGCCCTCCCCCAGCACCCCAGCCTTATTTCACAGTATTTTTGAGGGGAACCCCGACAGGGCAGGGGCCGGTGGCCAGCTCACCCGGAGAGCAGAGCAGCTGCTGGAGCTCAGAGCCCTTGGGCCTCAGGGCCGCCTTGGGGAGGCCAGTCGTGTGCCTTCTTAGGAGGCTTATCTGGGCCTGCTCTGACCAGCTAATCCCACAGGGGAGAGGGCAGCGCCCAACACACACCTCGGATCCCAGGTTGCTGTTTACTGAGACCTACTCTGTGCCCACCCTTGTCACAGCCCCGTCAGCTAGTGAGGCGGCGCTGTGCCCGCGTGGGAGACAGGCTCAGTGCTGTTTAGTGACCTGGGCAAGACCACACCACTAGGAGGTGGTCTGTCTGACCCATTTTGAGAGAGGACCTCAGTGTCTTGAGGTGATCAAGTTTGGCTACTCATTTATTCCCTGCAAGGCAGAATGGAGTCTGAGAGGGGCTGGGCTTTGCCCAGAGTCATCCAGCAACTCCTGTGGGAACCCAGGGCTCCCCACTCCCTGGGCAGCGTTCCTTCAGGCCCAGGTCCCAGGCGGCGCCCCGAGGGGTGCCTCTAAGGTCCAGCACCAGCCAGAAAACCCCAAAGTGGGCTCCTGTTGGCCAGGGCGGCTCTCCCTCGGGCCCTGCCTGCTGACCTCCCCTCCTGCTTCCCTTCCTGGAGGGCCCAGGGGGCACAGGTCAGCCCCTCCCATCACTGTGGTCCGTCCCCCCCCCCCCCCAGGGCGCCGAGACCAGGAAGCGCTCGCCCACACTCAGCAGCCAGTTCAAGCGGTCCCTGGAGCTGCTGATGCGCACACTGGGTGCCTGCCAGCCCTTCTTCGTGCGCTGTATCAAGCCCAATGAGTTCAAGAAGCCCATGGTAAGGGACCCCGGTCCCCGGGTTGGGGCAGCCAGGGACCATGCTGGGGCAGGTGGAGGGGCCGGGCAAAGGGGGCGGGCCGAGGGCTGGGCTGAGACTCTGTCTTCTTTGGGGAATGGCAGGGCACCTCAAGGGTTTATAGAACAGTTCCGATTTACTGGAGGCAGCGTGTCCCCCAGGAAGAGCCTGGACTCTGCAGTGAGCTTGACGTGGGTTCAAATCCTGTACCGCCTTTAAGCTGGGTTTATCGCCTAGGACATTTCATGCAATATGCACGCAGACTGCCTGGCCCCTAGGAGTCAGCCTTGGTTCTTTCTGTGGCCCTGACTTTGAAAGCCCCTTCTCCTTTGGTCCACGCAGCCACCACTTCCTCTTTGAAGCCTTACCAGATTCCTCTGACTGGTTAGGAAGGTTCTCAGTTTTGACTCTGCTGAATAACATTTATCGGGCCCTTTCTGTGTGCACAGGGCACCGGGTCCTCTCCATGGCCCCATTCAACCTTCCCAACAGCCTGTGGAAGAAGGACCCGAAGGAGGGACCGTTACGGCCCCTAATCTGGGATGTGTGACTGTGGGCTTAGGGAGACTAAGGAGCTTGAGGCTGCAGAGCTGGGAGCCTGGGCCACCCCTCGCTCAGGCCTCTCCTTCCACAGCTCTGGGAGGTGTTGTTTACCACAAAGTTCTTAGAGGCCCAGGGGGAAGCTGGGGCCTCTGGGGTCTGGGGAGGGAAGGACGGAAGGAGCGAGGGCAGGGCTGGGCCAGGGAAAGTGCCTGGAGGGAGAGGAAACAGGTGGCGGAAGCCGGCCAGCTGTGTGCTGGCCCTGCCTCTGCCTGAAAACATTTCCCAGAGTGGGCTGGCCCGTACCCTACGGGTCTCAGGACTGGGTCTGCAGGGGCCTGAGGGTCCCCAAGGGCTCCAGCGAGCTCCCACTCTTCTCCAGGGCAGGAGGTCTGGGGGAATGAGGCCAGGGCCCTGCCAAGGCAGTTGGGTACCCACTCTCCCGTTCTGAGATGCTTCTAGAACCTTCTCTGGGCCCAGACCTCAGCATCTGTTACCTGAACCTTAGCAGCAGGACCTTCTCATTGGTCTCCTGCCTCCTTGCTCCAGTCCTCATCCTGACCCAGTGGGTGTCAAATGTAGCCCTGACCTGGTCACTCCCTGCTGCCTCCCTAGCCTCGCCGCCAAGGCCCTCTCAGGCTCTCTACAACTGGCTGCCCTCACAAGATGATTTAGTGCCAATGAGAAAAGAATGTCTCTTCATTAAGGCACTGCCAGCAGCTAGAAAGTCATCTGAAGGGCTGCAGACCTACTATGCGTATAATATGAAGGGTGCCTGCTGGGGCCGTGCAAGGCACCCCGTACCTGCACCACCATAATCTTGGCACGGATTAGTTTCCTCCATCTCCATGAAGTCCCCTAGCACGCCCTGCACTTTTAGGCTTCCATACCTTTGCACATGTTCACCCTGCCTCCTCCAGTGCCTTTTCTCCTGATGGGGTTAGAGCAAAGACCGCCTCCTCCAGGAAGTCCCCTCAAGATATCCCAAAGGGTGTTGTTTCTCCTCTGTGCCCCCAGAGTTTGAGGCTTGTCCCATGCGAGGGTCTCATTTTGTGCTGCTAAGTAAGTTCTAGCTGCAGATCTGGGGTCGGTCGGTCTGCCTATGCTTCTCATCTGGTGTGTGGCTGGGAAAAGGCAGAGCGGGGCTGAGCTCCTGGCCGGAGGCTCCAGCGCCGACGCCCTTGGCTCCGTGCCCGGCAGCTGTTCGACCGGCACCTGTGTGTGCGCCAGCTGCGGTACTCAGGGATGATGGAGACCATCCGAATCCGCCGGGCCGGCTACCCCATCCGCTACAGCTTTGTGGAGTTTGTAGAGCGGTACCGTGTGCTGCTGCCCGGAGTGAAGCCGGCCTACAAGCAGGTACGGGGCTGGGGGACAGAGAAGGTGGGAGGCAGCGTCCCAGCTCTGGGCTGGGCGGGGACCCTGGTTTTCTCATTGGGATGGTGTGCTGGGCATGACATCAGCTTGGACACCTCAGGTGTGGTTGGGAAGATCAGGGACCAGCCAATAGAGGACTTCCAAGGGCTCAACTGGCATGGACTTCACACACGTGGTCTAGTGGACGAGACCGGGGCTGCCACATATGCCCTGGATGTTAGACACAGGAGAGGGTTTTGCAGTCATCCTGCCCAGCTGGGGAGAAAAGTGAGGCTCAGAGAAGGCAGGGCCCGGCCAGGGTCACACAGCAAGTCTGGGACAGAGCTGGAGGCTGGGGCAGAGCTCCCTGCCTCCTGGTCTTGGGAGAGGCACTCAGGTGCCCTTGCCACTCACCGGTGGGGCTGCCCATTCCCTGTGCACCCCCAGGACGACCTTCGGGGGACGTGCCAACGCATGGCCGAGGCTGTGCTGGGCACCCACGACGACTGGCAGATTGGCAAAACCAAGATCTTCCTGAAGGTGAGCACAGGCTCTGTCTCTGGCTGCCTTGTGGATTCCCCATCACGGTGGGGACAGGCTGCTAGGGGCCTCTGGAAAGTAGCTGTGGCATCAGGTGGGTCCGTACTGGGCCTTGTGGTCTCCCTGCTCTGCAGTCTGTGATAGCGACGTGGGATTAGGCCTCCTCGTGCGCGAGGGGAAATGGGTTAAAGACCATCTGTGATCTGGGGGGTGAGGTCAGAGATGGCTCACCAGGGAGGCCTCGGTTCAGTTAGGACCTCGTGGTTGGCTGCCTGCCCTGGGACTTTGGGCAGGTCACTGGCCCTTTCTGAGCCTCATTTTCCCATCTGTAAAATTGGATGTGTTTGGGGGGTGCGGATCTTGAGTGTATCTTCAGGCCCCTCCTGTGATTTCCTGCCGGGCAGGGCTCATCTCTGCTGTGATAGGCCACATGCCACCCCCTCCCTCTGTCCTCTCTTAGGGGCCTGGTCCCACCCTCCCTGAGCTCCGTGGGGCTGGACTTCAGGATGGGGCCGTCGGGAGGGGCATGGCTGGGCCGCGGGGCGTCTTGACCCTGGAGTAGAGCTTGCTGGGAATTGGCCATGGCCCGGCAGCTGCAGCAGGGACAGCGTGAGCTCCCAGGCGGCCTTCTTCCGCATCTCCATTTCCGCTGTACCAGAGTTCTGGCTGTCCTGGGCGATGGGCAGGGCCGCTTCCTCTGCTGGGAGGGTGGGCCCAGGCAGCTGGGGAGAGCCGCGGGAGGGAAGGGGGAGGCGGCAGCCCCGGCTGGAGGGGATCTGGGGCCTGACAATTCCTCCCTGGCTGGGGGGCCGTGGGCCAGTGCCTTCCTCTCCCAGAGCCTTTATTTCCTCGTCAGAAACACATGCCGACCTGACCCTTCCCTGCCTGTGCAGATTACTACTGCCGTCTGGAAGGCTTGTCCTTTGGGCCAGGCCTCAGCTGGGAGTTTTTATCCATTTGTATCCATGATCTGGGGTAGTCCTCACAGCAGCTCTAGGAGGCGGGACCACCATGGCCAGAGAGGAGAAGCGAGTTGCCCTGGTGGTACGCTGACCTGGAGGGGAGAGCAGGGCAAGACTGTGTGGAGGAGGGAGGAGAGGCAGGCAGCACGATGGGGTCCAGAGGGGGCCATTTCCCCAAGGACCATCCTTGTCCCCATTCTCACCTCCCTGGGCTCTTTAGAAACGCGCCGTCATTTCAAGAGCCCAGACACCTACTTCTGGGTTTGTCCGTTCAGACAGCCGGCTAGACCCTGGGCGCCGGGATATGGTCTGGAATTATCTGATGGGCAGGGCTCCCTCACGAGGCGCGGTATGTCCGCCTGACCACTGTAGCCTCATCCCGGCCCTCAGCACTGTGGTGGCTCATTCATCTGTATCGGATGTATGAGGTTTTATCTAACTGGAGGGAAGGTTGGGGGCCTGAGAGGGGGGAGGAGAGTGGCCTAGAGAAGTCAGCAGGGCCTGCATTATGGGGAGCCTGAGCACCAGGCCGGAGACCAGGCTCGACCTCGGGAACCGTGGTGTCATTTTAAGGTCACCCTCAGATTTGTGTTTTAAGAGGGTTTCCTCCCTAAGGGAGAGCCAGAGCAGGAGTGACAGGGGCCAGGAGGGAAATGGCAGTGGTCCAGCCCAGGTCAGGGACCCATGGGACAGAGACATTTAGAAGAGTGGGTATGGGGGGTGGCGCCTGGGTGGCTCAGTCGGCTAAGCATCTGACTCTTGATTTCGGCTCCGGTCTCACGGTCATGAGATGGGGCCCTGTGTTGGGCTCCATGCTGAGTGTGGGGCCTGCTTAGGGTTCTCTCTCCTCTCTCTCAGCTACTCTACCCCATCTCTCTCTCTCTCTCTCTCTCTCTGTCTCAAAATAAGCAAACAATCATTTAGAAGAGTGGGGACGAGGGGAGACATGGCCATAGGAAAGGAGCCAGTGTGCGAATGGTGGCCTCTCTGACCCCTCCAGTCAGATTAAGCTCCTCCCCCTCCACGTGTGTTCACCCTGGCCTCCGGGAAACAGCCACACACTGAGTCTGTTCGTGTGCTATGGGAGGCGGTCCCAGGGGCCCAGAGCAGGGCAGGGAGCCTGGGCTCTGAGGGAAGGAAGGGAGGGCCTGTGCGGGGCAGCCTCAGCCCCGGACTAGGAGGAGGGTGGGGGCGCCGCTCAGGGGCTCTGCCCTCCAGGACCACCACGACATGCTGCTGGAGGTGGAGCGGGACAAGGCCATCACCGACAGAGTCATCCTCCTCCAGAAGGTCATCCGCGGGTTCAAAGACAGGTATGCAGCGGGCCCAGCCCCCCCCCGCCCTCAGCTCACCCAGAGACGTGCGTGCGCATGGCTTGCCTCCGTGCCCCTAAATGAACACTGGGAGTGAACACACGCACACGGGAACAGGCACACACGGTCATGCTAACACCGATGAACGCACAGACATGTGACTCACACCGACCTACCTGTGCCACATACGCCCGGTAACACGGCCCACTCTCCTCCGTACAAGCACGCACACACGTTCACATGAGGCACACGCATGGATAGTCCGTCCTGAGTCTCGGGTGCCTGGTGAAATTTCCCGAAGAGGAAATGTGAAGTTTTGTAAATGACAGAGTGCGTCCCATTTTCCATGCGAGGGACATGTGTACAGCTGTGACACGTCACACACGGGCAGGGCTGACTCTGAAGTGTGACTGTGGCTCCGCAGAAACCCACAATGTGCCGCTTGAGCAGTTCTTCCGGTTCCCCCCTCCCTCTCTCCCTCTGTCTACCATCTGTCCATCCATCCAGCAGTTTATCTGCCCTTCTGTCAGTTTTGTCCGTCCATCTGTCCATCCCCTCCCTCACTTATGCACATCCAGACACCGGCTTGCCGGCTGTGTCACGCCCTGATGTGTCCATCCTTCACTCCCTTACTTCCTTCTACCTTCAGCAGACACCTGCTGTGTGAGGGGTGGTCTCTTTGTCCTCCATCAGGTCAACGGTGACTGTCGTCCTGTAGAAGCTGCCTCCTGTGTGCAGGGGACAGCAGTGTGCTCGCTCAGGGTCCGTCAGAAGACATGGGCTCTAGTCCCAACCTCACTAAGTCTCACATTCCTCATCTCTAAATTGGAGAAGTTAGTAATAAATAATAGTCACAGTGATCTAAGCTTTTAATCTTTATATTATTTCATTTACTTATTCGTTATTCATGTATTTGGCTACCTAAAGAGGTGTATGTGACAAACCTATGAGGCAGGAGGAGCAGGTGTCTTTGTACCCATTTTACAGACAAGGAAGCTTAGGCGTAGAGAAGGTCTATGCCTTTGCCCAAGGTCATGTGGCTGGGAGACACAGAGCTGGGCTCAGCCCTACTCTCCTGATGCCAGACACCTCCGGTACTCTGGCGGCCTCTGGGCACTATTTCCCTGCCCTGACATCCTTCTGTGTCATGCTGCTGCTGTAGATCTAACTTCCTGAAACTGAAGAACGCTGCCACACTGATCCAGAGGCACTGGCGTGGCCACAATTGCCGGAGGAACTATGAGCTGGTGAGCCTCCCCAGGGGGTGCTCTTTGCCTCCCGGAGGCCTTTGAACCTGGCCCCGGTGCCGTTGCCATAGCAGCAGATGTACCTCTGCCCAGGGCCTGGCTGGCCCCCTGCCCGGCCCCCTGCCCAAAGTTCAAGTCTGCTTCCTGAGGCTGTGCCCATCTAGTCAGCAAGTTTGTTACTCTTCTGGAATGTTTGATGGGCCGTGAGCACCCGGGCCATTAGAGAGTGTGGAGGAGGCTAGGGGCAGGCTTGTCATGTGGTTCTCTGCAGAACATCGGGGTGCAGTCAGGACTTGGGGCTGGGGTGGCAGAGACAGGAAGGAGACCAGCTCCTGGTCTGAGGATGGGGGTTTGTTGTGTGTGGGGGGCACCCTCGGGAAGCCAAGTCCTCTCCCCAGAAAATGTCCATCTGCGAGGAAACCGAGTTGAACTCTGGGGAGCCCCAGTCCCAGAGAAGGCAGAGCTTTGGGGCAGCCACTCAGAGCGGAGCCCAGCGCGGGGACTGTCCCTTGGCCGGGGTGAGCCCGGGGTCGGGCGGCAGGCTCTGAGCGGGTCCGGTCGGTGTCCCTGCAGATGCGGCTGGGCTTCCTGCGGCTGCAGGCCCTGCAGCGCTCCCGGAAGCTGCACCAGCAGTACCGCCTGGCCCGCGGGCGCATCATCGGGTTCCAGGCCCGCTGCCGCGCCTACCTGGTGCGCAAGGCCTTCCGCCACCGCCTCTGGGCTGTGCTCACCGTTCAGGCCTACGCCCGGGGCATGATTGCCCGCAGGCTGCACCGGCGCCTCAGGACAGAGGTGAGGGGGGGGCTCGTGTGCCCTGAGGGGTGCTGCTCCACCCCCAGTGGGCGGGTCGCCCCCCACACTGCCGCCTACAGAGGGGCCCTGGGACCAAGCCGCCTCTGGGGAAGGCGTGAAGCTGGGATCGACCTCTCGTTTCCATCCTCCCAGCCAACAGCAGGGCCCGGGGCCCAGTCACTGTGGTGGTGAACCTGGCTTGGCTTTGGGAATCACCAGTGTCCCCAACCTGCTGTGTGACCTGGGGGGGTTCTCAGATGCCTCAGTGTCCCCATCTGCCAAGTCATTGGGCAGAGTCGCCCCCAGCCCCAGAACGCAGTGAGGGTGGCGAGGGCCAGAGCTGGCAGGAGGCACGGTGAGGGTGCCCACCTGGCTGCCCCTTCCCCCAGTACCTGCGGCGTCTGGAGGCTGAGAAAATGCGGCTGGCAGAGGAGGAGAAGCTCCGGAAGGAGATGAGCGCCAAGAAGGCCAAGGAGGAGGCTGAACGCAAGCATCAGGTGAGCTGAGTGGCCTGGCACCGCAGACGTCCATTCGCTGGTTCAACAGCCCAGGCGATTCACCGTGGGTCCACGCAGCCAGCCTTCATCCATGCACTGGGCACTTGGTCCTGTGCCCGGCGTGGGGACGAGGGGCCGTGGCTCCCAAGTAAGAGGGTCCATGCCCATCACCTTTTCTAGCTGGGTGGTGACACCTGGCTAAAAAGCCTGAGCGGAGGCGAGAGCTCCCAGTATGGGAGCCCCAGCCGCTTGTGGGCTGAGTGCCTGACATGGCAGAGGCCTTTACGTGTGAAATACACTAGGTTTTGAAGACAGTAAAGTAGAAGGAATAGGAAATATCTCAGTACTATTTTAAAGATATTAATTAAGTCTTGACATATTTTGCAACTTTTGGGTTAAATAAAAAATACATATTTTTTTATTTGCAAGAGAGAGAGCAAGAGAGCACTCACGAGTGGGGGAGAGAGGCAGAGGGAGAGAGAGAGAATCCTTAGCAGGCTCCACACTCAGCGTGGAGCCCAACGTGGGGCTTGATCCCACAACCCTGGAAGCATGACCAGAGCTGAAATCAGGAGTTGGATGCTCAACCGACTGAGCCACCCAGGTGCCCCTAAAATATATTATTAAAAGAGATTTCATCTGTTTCTTTTTACTATTTTGAACGAAATTACTACATTCAGGCTCGCGTTATATTTCTATTGGACAGCGCTGGCCTAGGGCCTCAACCCAGAAGCTGTGGGGTTTCCGGGTTGGGGAGGCATGAGCAGGGTTCACAGAAAAGGTGATTCCCAGCTAAGCCCTGCAGGGCAGATAGCATTATTCTGGGCTTCTCTCGAGGCTTCTCTGTAGCCCCATGCTGGGCATCTGTCTGCACTGGATTCTGAGGGCGGGACGGGGCAGGGCTGAGGCCGGAGAGGCCGGAGGCTCAGTCCTTCCTCAGTCAGAGGGCGCAGTGGAGGCCGGGACGAAGGCCTGGCAGCTTCGGGGGCTCTCTGGGGGCGTGCTCCCTGACGCTGTCTCCTCTGCGTCATCTCACACTGCCAGGAGCGCCTGGCCCAGCTGGCCCGTGAGGACGCCGAGCGGGAGCTGAAGGAGAAGGAGGAGGCTCGGCGCAAGAAGGAGCTCCTGGAGCAGATGGAGAGAGCCCGCCATGAGCCCATCAACCACTCGGACATGGTGGACAAGATGTTCGGCTTCTTGGGGACTTCAGGCGGTCTGCCAGGCCAGGAGGGCCAAGCGCCTAGTGGCTTCGAGGTACCAGGCTGGGAACAGGCCCCAGTGTGATAGCCCTGCCTCCTTTTCTGCCTCTTTGCCTTAAAGTCCACTTGTCCCTTGGGCACAGAAAGCAGCAGTGAGACGTGCGGCCCCTGCAGCCCTGAGCCTGTCGGGCCGGCAGCTGCCCATGTAGCCGGGGCCAGTAACTGTCACTCATATTCATTCATTCCTGAGGACCTACCATGGGCCTCCAAATGATGGCACTGTCCCCCCCTTGTGGAGGAAGAGCTGGCCCCCAGGGACAGGCGGGGGGCCGGAGGGCCGGCCCGAGGCTGCTCCTCGGCAGGAACCTCTGTGGCCTCCTCAGGACCTAGAGCGCGGGCGCAGGGAGATGGTGGAGGAGGACCTGGATGCAGCGCTGCCCTTGCCGGACGAGGACGAGGAGGACCTCTCGGAGTACAAATTCGCCAAGTTCGCTGCCACCTACTTCCAGGGCACGACCACGCACACCTATACCCGGCGGCCGCTCAGGCAGCCGCTGCTGTACCACGATGACGAGGGTGACCAGCTGGTGAGGGCGGGGGCCGTGTGGGGGAGGGGGAGGTCCCCGGGGGCGGGACTAGGGCTGACTTCAGGCGGGTACCCTGAGCCCCGTACGCAGCCCTCCCGCGGCCCTCTCCAGCCCCTTCCCCAGACCCCCTGGCTGTCTAGATGGTTCAGCAGTGCCCTGGCCTGTGCCCCCTGGCACGCTTTGCCCCAGGCGGCCCTGGCGGTCTGGATCACCGTCCTGCGCTTCATGGGGGACCTCCCTGAGCCCAAGTACCACACGGCCATGAGCGATGGCAGTGAGAAGATACCTGTGATGACCAAGATCTACGAGACCCTGGGCAAGAAGACATACAGGAGGGAGCTGCAGGGCGAGGGGGAGGTGAGGCCCAGGCCCCCCCCCACCCCGAGTTTGTCCATGTCCCTCCTAGGCCAACAGGGAGGGCTGCCCACATCCCCAGCCTCAGGGGCCTCCGCAGGAGGAGCACCTTAAAATTTGCTCCCACCTCACCTCCCTGACCCCACTATCCTCTGTCCCCTCGTGGGAAAAAACGTGTGAACGTTTTGTAAACTGGAAGGTACGGATCGCGATTGAATGAGGCCACGCGGCAGAACCAGAGGCCTTGCGGTCAGAGGCGGCTCCGGTACTGACTCACTGGGAGGCTCTGGGCAGGCGCCCACACGGTTCTGGGTCTCCGTTTCCCCAGCCATCAGCTGGCTGGTGGGGGCGAGAGGGGGCAGCGTGGGGTGTACCTCGTAAACCCCAGGGTGGAGGCGCACAGCCCTCCAGCCACAGCCCCGTGGTCTGCTGCTCTTGTCGTTACTTTGGGCCCAGGTGCTTGCCTCTGACCCCTGTTTGTCCTGCAGACCCAGCTCCCCGAGGGGCAGAAGAAGAGCAGCATGAGGCACAAGCTGGTGCACTTGACCCTGAAGAAGAAGTCCAAACTGACAGAGGAGGTTAGAGCAGACCCTGGGCTGCCTTGGGAGGCCCAGGAGGGGACAGGACTGAGCTCGGGGGCCACGGGGAGTGGGAACAGGAGCGGATGTGGCCTGTTCCCAGGGGCTTGGGCTGGACTGTGTCGGGGGTGAGTGGGCAGATGGGAGTGTGGAAGTAGAGGGCGCGGAGCACAGGCTGGGGCTGGATCAGAGAGGGCTTCCCAGAGGAAGAGACTAGAGAGCTGGCAAGGTCCAGAGGCAAATGGTGAGGGGGAGGACATTTCCTGCCAGGGCGGGGACCCGTTGCATTTGATCCGAGGACCTGTCAGACGCTGTGACCTTCTCTGTGCTAAGGGTGCCCACGGACATTAACAGCACTACTTTGTTTGGATTCTCATTTAGTTGCCTCACCTTTGCTGAGCTGAGCCACCCTGTGCTCCAGGAATGTGCAGGCTGGGAGGCAGCGGGCACTAACCCAGGCATTTACGGCACAGGGGGACTGGCTCCTGCATGTCCCTAAGTTTGCACACATCAGTCCCTCCGCCTAAAATTCCTCCTTCCTCTTTTCTGCCGGGGAGTCACCTCCTCCAGGAAGCCTGCCCAGGCCCCTCTGACAGTAGAGTCAGGCTCCTCCTCAGGGCTTCCATAGCCTGCTCTGCCACTGCCACGGTCCTCTTCCCCACCTGAGGCTCAAATCCAGTCCCGCAGCCACATAGCCCCAGATTTGAATCCTGGCTCTGCCGCTGGGTATCTGGAGGGCCCAGAGGGGAAAATGCCCGCTGGTGTGCTCCTGGGAGGATGGCTTGAGATGACAGCTGTGGGTGCTCCCATAGATGTGAGGACCTCCTGCATCCCCCCGCCGGCAGGGGCATGCTCCTGCCACTTCCCGCTCTCACTCCAGGGGGCTCCGGGCAGGTGCAGGTCGGCACAGTGGGCTGTGTGCAACCAGAGAGGAGAAACATGTCTACGAGAACCCAGGCTTGGGGCTGTTCACAGAGAACTGGGCGGTTGGAACGCAGCTGGCTGTCAGGGTTGTGTGTGGAGCTGTGGCCCACCCTGGAGAGACCGGGGTCCCAGCAGGAGTCAGAAGAGCAGGTCCCTGTCTTGGCTGAAAGGGCTTCCCTGGGGTAGGGGGAGCGGAGGGTGGTGTCAAGGAGGCTGCAGAGGAGCCTTGTCCCCAGTAGGGGGCACCAGACTGGTGCTGTCCAGCCATCTGGACCAGTCAGCTCAGCACAGGGCGGGGGTAGGACAGGGCTAGGGCTCTCACGGTGGCAGGGAGCCAGCTCTTGTGGCCGTTCCGGGCACCTGTTCTCCACGGGAGCGGGCAGACTCAGACACGAGGTGAGGCCCCTCACTTGACCCTGCCTGGGTCAAGCCTCGTCCCCTCCCTCTGGCCCAGGTGACCAAAAGGCTGCATGACGGGGAGTCCACTGTGCAGGGCAACAGCATGCTGGAGGACCGGCCCACTTCCAACCTGGAGAAGCTGCACTTCATCATTGGCAATGGCATCCTGCGGCCAGCGCTCCGGTCAGTGCCTGAGGAGCAGCTGGCGGGGGGAGGCATCCCGCGCTCCCCAGAGTGCTGAGGCCCTAAAAGGCTTTTAAGGTGGCTGAGTTGTGGCTTTGTCACCTTGGCAACAGATTAAGCCAAACAGGCCCCAGGGTAGTTCTGCTGCTAGCTAGTCATGTGACCTTGATAGAATTATTTCATCTCATGAGCCTCAGTTTCTTCATCTGTAAAGAGGGAATTATAATTGTACTCACCTAAGAGGCTGATGGGCAGGTCACACTCCGGAGAGCGTGTGAGACGGGACCCACATAGCAGCACTCGGTAAATGGTACCTGCTGTTCTCATTATCTGATGCGTCTGCTGCTTTAAGCCTATTCCTCTCAGCTCACCTTTGGTGCACCTGACCCAGGCCTGTGTGCAGGGTTACTGTGGTTAGCATGCCTGGGAATCCCAGGAGTGCCTTCTCCCCCCTGCCCCCCCAGGCCCAGGAAGTCTTTGTTCCAGCCCCTGGGGTGTTGGGGAGGAGGTGGGATGATCCATGAGTAACCAGGAGCAATAAAGGAATCGAGTCAGCTAGGTCATGGAGGGAAGACGGGACTTTTCTGAGGACTATCTGCTCAAGATGGCCAGTTAGGAGACCCGACCCCACGAACTCGTGCGTACTGGCCGGGAGGGCAGCAGGATGGGGCTAGGTGGGGCGTTGAACCCATTTTACCAGTGGGAAAACCGAGGCCCGGGCAGGGGAAGAGACCTTCTAGGGATCACTGGCCTCCAAGACCTCCTGCCTTCCAGACAGGCATCCTTTCATTGCTGCTGGAGACCAGGTGCGACTTCACCAGAGGGAGTCAGGGACCCAGGGCCACCTGTCTCCAGGAGGAAAGGGTAGCCGTCCAAGGCGTGTTGAAAGGGCAAGAATCTGCCTCCCAGTTATCTCACCATTAGGCCTAAAGTTGTCAGTCCTAGAGAACAGGGCACCAGGAGCCCTGAGCCAAGAGTCAGAAGGCTGGGTGTAGAGTCTCTGAGGGCCGTGGCCAATCCCTGCCTTCTCTTGGTCTTGGCTCCCAGCTCCAGGTGAGAGAGCCTGTACTGGTCTGAGATGAGATGGGAAAAATAAGGAGGTTTCTACAGCTAAATCTGATTCATATAAAGGACTATTGTTTGTTCTGAGATTTTTACCCTAGTTTCTACTTTTTGAATATTAATGTTTGTTTTATGAAATGATTGTGATACAGAGGGCAGATCGTGCATGTTATGGAGTGTTTTAAATTACCTTATTTGTCAAGATAAAAAGTTAGCAACCTCAGGGGCGCCTGGGTGGCTTAGTCGGTTAAGTGTCCGACTTTGCTTGGGTCATGATCTCACGGTTCATGGGTTCGAGCCCCGCGTTGGGCTCTGTGCTGACTGCCAGTTCAGAGCCTGGAGCCTGTTTCAGTCTGTGACTCCCTCTCTCTCTGACCCTCCCCTGCTCATGCTGTCTCTCTCTCTCTCTCTCTCTCTCCTAAAAATAAATAAAACATTAAAAAAAAAAAAAAGTTAGCAACCTCAGAGTTAACTTTGAAGCGACACTGGCCTCTAAAGATCCAGGCACCACTTAATTGAATTATTCATCCTTCCTGCCCAGGCCTGCCCTTCTGAGAGGGAAGAGCAGCAGCGCCTCCTGGTGGTCACTTTGTCATCACGGTCCTGTCCTTGGCCCTGAACAGCCAGGCCGCTAGCATTTATTGAGGGTTAGGTGCTAGGTGCTTTATAAGCTTTGGCTCCTTTTTCTTTACAGAAATCTTGTAAAGAAGGTATTATCATTTTCCTTTAAAATGAAAACAAAAAACCTACCTTCATAGCTTTGATCTGGTTACAAAAGTAATACATGGCCTCTTAACCACTGTATTCAAACATTACAGAAATGCATCAAGGGTTAAGTCAAAGCCCCCGCCCATTCCATCTCCCAGAGAAACTCCCCAGGTGTGTTGGCTGCTTCTGTCCTTCTGGTTGCCATCAGTAGAAATTGTACCTGCTGCCATGACTGTGGGAAGGGCTCAGAGAGGGGACTCCTCTGGCCAGGCCCCCCAGCTGGTGAGGGACAAGGCAGGGAGGGAGCCTGGGCTTTTCATCAAAGGGACGGGATGTGTACTGTTCTCAGGGTCATGGGGCCCTGGCTGTGGATCTGGGTTAGAGTCGGAGCGTGCTTCGTGCCTGATGAGCCTGCCTCCAAAGCAAGGCCCTCTTCGTTGGCTCTGCAGAGCCGTGGGCTCAGCCTTCCCCAGTCGCCCCCATGCAGCCTCCTCCTGGGTGGTCTTGGGCAAGCAGGAGAGGATGAGATCGGCTGTCAAGCCTGTGGCCCGGGGGGCCGGGCTCATCCCTTCCTGCTGCCCTGCGTAGGGATGAGATCTACTGCCAGATCAGCAAGCAGCTCACTCACAACCCCTCCAAGAGCAGCTACGCCCGGGGCTGGATCCTCGTATCTCTCTGCGTGGGCTGCTTTGCTCCCTCGGAGAAGTTCGTTAAGGTAGGGAGGCGCAGGGGGGCGTAGGGAGGCGTGGGCCTCCGGCGGGGAGAAGGGCGTTGGAGGAGAGAGCAAGGGGGAGAAGCTCAGCGTGGCTCGGCAATGAGGCCTCGCCTGGGCTGTGTCCTGTCCCCTCAGGCCTACAGCTGGTCAGCGCTGTGAGGAAGAAGGCGCTGGCCCGGTGGGGGGAGTCAGGGAGGTGGGCTCTGGAAAAAGAGGAGCAGTTAGACTAGGCGAAGAGGGGTACAGCGTGTGGGGGGAGTCAGGGGGCACGGCTGAGACTGGACAGGGTCAGGATATGGCGGCCTCGCTGCCAGCCTGAGATACGTGGACTTGATCCCATGGGCGGAGGGGCTTAGCCCTGGAGGCGTGTGGGTGGCCGGGCCTTGAGCAGGTCCTGAGTGTGCGTGGCAGGCGGGAAGTGGGAGACCTGGTGAGGCCGGGGAGGAGGTCCCTCAGCTGGTCCTCTGTCTACAGTACCTGCGGAACTTCATCCACGGGGGACCGCCTGGCTACGCTCCGTACTGTGAGGAGCGGCTCCGGAGGACCTTTGTGAATGGGACCCGGACACAGCCGCCCAGCTGGCTGGAGCTGCAGGTGTGGCCCCTGGCCCTACCCAGGCACACGAGTGTGTGTGTGAGCGTGTGCATGCGTGTTTGGGTGTCCCCAGTGCACTCCAGTGCCCCAGAAACATTCCCCACTTTAGGAGTCTGGTTCTTCAAGAGCCCACCGTCAAGTTTGGGAATCCCAGGCCTTTTAGAACAGGAAAGCACCCAGTGGATGACTGACTCCCATCTGCTGGTTTTATGGCCAAAGCAACTTGGGCAGGGGGGTTCCCTCCGTGTCTTAGTAGCTTCATCTGTAATCAAGCAATAATGATCCTCAGTTCACAGGGTCTTGTGACGGTTTCATGACGTGAGGGCAGAAGCCCCTGGTTGGTGGCGGTGCCCAGCCTCCCAGGCCCCATGCCTGGGCTCAGGGCCTGTAAAGGTTCCTTCGGGGTGGGGAACTCTGCAGGGTCTGGGCACCTGTGACCAGGCACAGGCGATGTCCTGGTGGGATGCCGGGGTCTGAGGCTCAGGGGCAGCTCTGACCCCCTAGGGAGCAGGGAGCCAGGAACCCAGAGGGCGTGGACCGATTGGAAGTGAAAAGATGCCCACAAACCCTTTTTGGTCCTTTCCAGGCCACCAAGTCCAAGAAGCCCATCATGTTGCCTGTGACCTTCATGGATGGAACCACCAAGACCCTGCTGACCGACTCGGCCACCACGGCCAAGGAGCTCTGCAATGCGCTGGCTGACAAGATCTCGCTCAAGGACCGCTTTGGGTTCTCCCTCTACATTGCTCTGTTTGATAAGGTACGGCCGCCCCACAGCGCCCCTTCCTGGCACCACCCGGGCACCGTCCCGTTGCTGCCGCGAATTGGCTCAGGCGGCCTCCTGCAGTTACTTACCTTTCAGAGTGCGGTTTCCTCTCAGCTCGTGGTGACTCTGCCCAACTCAGTAGGGCTGTGGAGGGCACCTAAAAATCGGGCAGTACAGTGGACACGGAAACCCAGAGCTGACTTCTGTCGTAACATACCTGGGCCCAGTCCACGCTCCCCTGGCGTCAGGGCAGAAGCATGGCAGGGACAGACCAGAGGTGTGCACGAAGCCACTTAGCTCTGTGAAATTCTGTTTTCTCATTTGCAAATGGGAACAGACATTTTTTTTTCAGGTTGCCATGGTAGCTTCCTTTCACCTGTTAGTGGTCACCTGGAGCGTGTGCCTCACTGGGCACATCTGGGCCCGGAGCCTTCTCTGCTGAGCTGGGCCTGGGGGTGGGTGATTGCACCTCCACACTCAGCCACATCACATGCAGCAGACGCGCCCTCCACCTCCCCCCCATCCTGGCAGGTCCAGGGGTAGAACCATGTTTGCCTGAATTTTTCTCCCCTACAGATACCTCCTGTGTCTTCAGTGACCGTTTGCCCATCAGAGTTTCACATGAGGCTTACACTAGGAATTGGGAACACTGCGTAGCTGTGCTGACTCAGAACCCATGGCTGGACCCTGGGGTCCCATTCTGGTCTGCCTCCTGGGTGACCCGGATGTGTCCCTGCCCCTCTCTGAGCCTCGGGTTTCCATTTGAACGACAACGGTGGGCAGGGCTGATGGCTCTTCGCAAGTCCTTTCCTGCCTGCTCAGCTTTCTGTCCCTGCGCCCACAGGTGTCCTCCCTGGGCAGCGGCAGTGACCATGTCATGGATGCCATCTCCCAATGTGAGCAGTACGCCAAGGAGCAGGGTGCCCAGGAACGCAATGCCCCCTGGAGGCTCTTCTTCCGCAAAGAGGTCTTCACGCCCTGGCACAATCCCTCAGAGGACAACGTGGCCACCAACCTCATCTACCAGCAGGTGGTGCGAGGGGTCAAGTTTGGGGAGTACAGGTGTGAGAAGGTGAGTGACCTCGAATCTTCTGGCTGAAGTTTTTCAGAACTTGCAAACTCTAGCTGAGTTTGGTTGGCTCACAGCCCTCTGTTTTCCAAATTTGGAACGAATGTTACTGTCTGTGCCCACCATTAGCTTATGTGGAGCTTAGCCTGATGGAGGCTTCTTCTAGAATAGCACCACCTACAGGAACAAGGGCTTTGAAGGATGGTGTGACTCTGCGGTGCTCATGCATGGTACAGAGTATGTGCTTTAAAACTTGCTGTATTGTTCTGACTTAGTCTAGAAAACTCTGTTCTGAAGGAGTAAGAGATCCGCTCATTTAGACCAGAGTTTATAAATGTGTATTCTCTTAGTCTCCTTTTAGGGACAGGAGTGATGTGGAGACACTCGTGTCATGTTATTTTATTTTTTGATGATGGTGGTGATGGTTCTCATGGCACCTATGATCCTGTTGGTGATTATGATGGAGGAATAAAGATGGAGAGGATGTAAATGAAGAGGGTGGCTGGTGGAGGTGGTGGTGAGGGCAGTGGTGAGGTTGACGATGACGGTGTTGGCGATGGTGGGTTGGTGGCCCAGGGTAGTGCTAGGTTGGTGACGGTGACAGTGGTGGTGTTGTAGGTGGTGGTGAGCTGATATTCAGGCAGAATGCATTAGTACAGCCCTATCAGTCGTTAAAATTCGAGATGCTTTGGACTGGTTGGAAAACATCTACTGCCTTCAAGACACCCAAGAGCCTTTCCTTATTGCCCCCTGTGCCAAAGGCCTGGTGAGCCCCAGGTGGACACACTGGGGCTGATGTGCAGCACCCCAGGCAGAGAAGGGGCAAATGCCCTGTACCCATCATCCAGCCCTCTGAAGCCTCTGCAGTGTAGCTGACTGGTCGTTCGCTGCTTGGACTATCCCCGGGTGTGGGGGGAGGGGTAGTGATGGTGATGGAGATACGGTGATGCCTGCCCCTCACTCTGACAGAACCAGTGGCCCCAGGCCCCCCGTTCTCCAGGGAAGACTGTCAGCTCCAGCCACTCCCAGGCCGGGAATGTGGTGGCTGACCCATTACCGATGGGCTGGCTGACCTCTCTGGGTCAGCTCGCGTGCCTCTGCGCCGGTACTGAGGGGACCGGGGAGAAGGCAGGGGTGTGGCCCTGCCTCTCAGGAGCTCATGGTTCCCACAAGCGGATAAGAACTTCTGGGGTGTCAGTGAGAATGGAATTTTCCAAAGGCCGGAGTCGACAGCTGGAGGAGGCAGGGCTCTGGGGACTTTGGTGGTCTGGAAGGGCTTCCCGAGGGTATGTGAACAACATCCCGCCCGCCCTGCCCCCCCAGGAGGATGACCTGGCCGAGCTGGCCTCCCAGCAGTACTTTGTGGACTACGGCTCCGAGATGATCCTGGAGCGCCTCCTAAACCTCGTGCCCACCTATATCCCTGACCGTGAGATCACGCCCCTGAAGACACTTGAGAAGTGGGCCCAGCTGGCCATTGCTGCCCACAAGAAGGTAGGAGGGCAGGGCGGGGTCTCGGAGGAGGGGCTCTCTGGTGACATGCATCTGCCCATGGGGCTGCTGGGAGACTGGATGGCAGCCCCAACCTCCTGCCCCCCAAGCAGCCTCTCTCCCCCATGGACGTCTGTTCGCTCATGTCTTATGCTGTCTGCTCTGGGCTGGTGCTGGGGATGCAGAGATGGATCGTGTCTGATCCTGCAGCTTCATGAGGGAAACCATGGGTCCATGGGTACTGGGGTCCCCTGGCCCTGGCCCGGCAGCAGCCACTTGTGGGAGCTGCCGCGCAGGAGTGCAGCACCTGCTGGAAGAGCTTCTAGCAAGTGTATTCTCCTTTCTGCCTAAAACAACCCCGGCCCAACCTCCTGCCTGGGGAACTTTAGGTACAGACCCCCCCTCAACCCCTCTGCTTAAGGCCCCAGGCCTATAACCAGCCCCAAGTAGCTCTCTTTCAAGCTAAGGGGCTGCCCAAGTAGAGGAGGGGTGGCCTGGCTGCTGAGGGGGACGGATGGGCCCCCCGCTTCCTGGCCGTGGTTGTGGAAGAGCAGAGTCATCTTGGCACACAAGTTGCTGGGGCGGGGGCCCCACAGACCAGCAGTCTCTCACCCCTCTACACCCCACGGCCTCTTCGCTGCCCCGGGGGGCCTCGAGTGCCTTTCCCACCCTACTCTCCCTTCCCGGGCGAGCTGCCCACAAGCCTCTACTCCTCCCTGAACCCGCCTTGCACCCTCTCTACATCCAGGCCTGGCTCCCCTGCCAGCCCCCCTCTCCAGCCCCCCTGCAGAAGAGATGTGTGTTTTTCCTCCTCTGTCTGTCTGTCCAGGCAACCTCCTGTCCCTCACCCCTCCCACCCCATTGGCTGCTAAAGTCCATCCATGCCACCTCCCAAACGACTTCGTCTGTCTGCCTTCCCCCGGGCCTCCTTGGTGCTCGCTGTCAGCATGCATGTGGCACGTGGCACGTTCTGGGCCGGGTGCCATTGTTCGTTAATTTGTTCTGCTTTGGGTGCTTGCCGTGTGTCAGCATGGTACTGGGCCCCGGGGACACAGCTGTGAGGCGGACAGAGGTGGTCTCTGCCCCTCGAGCCCACAGCCGAGCTATGTCTGTCTCTCAGACCAGAGCCTGTTGGCCTGTGGGTCCCCAGATCCCCAGGCCAGTCTTCTCGCAGAGTATACAGACGTGCATTAGCGTGGCTTTTAGGGTAAGAGTGGTAAAGACATTATATTTTGGAGCGATTTCAAGCTTGTGGAGAAGGTGCAAGTTCAAGAACCTAGAACCCGTCTCTGCATGCAGACGTGCAGTTTCTTCTGAACCTTTTGAGATTAGGCTGGAGGCGTGGAGCCCCATGTCCCGGAAGGGAAGGCACTGCTTCCGGCCCTCTCGGCGCCCGGCACGCACACAGGTCTTTGCCCGGGTTTGTGTCTATAGATGATAAATACCATGAGTTCAATTTGATACGTCCGGTTCTGCTCCAACACCACCGAGTTCTTAATAGGGCTCCGAGGGATATTTTTAGAACATAAAATGCCAGTGCTTTAGTTTCTGGCCAGCAGCATTGCGTTAACCCCTGGCCGCTGCAACCCTTCCCGGAGCTACGGTCTTCCTAGCTCCCGGCTTCGTCTGTCAGCTTCTGCCAACAGCCCAGTCTTGCGGTGGCCGCCTTGCCTACGCTTCCGTGTGACTCGGCTCTCATGGGCCTGTCCCCCACGCTCTCTCCCTGGTCCGGCACATACGCCGCTGCTTAGCCACACATGTTCCTGTTCCCCAGATGCCTCCCAAGTACTGGTGACTCCGGGCCTTTCACGCATGCTGGCCAGAGTTGTGGGCTTTTCTGTCACTGTTGAATTGGGATCTCCCTGCAGGTGGGACCTGTGGAGTGACGGGCTGATGGGCTAGGACAGTGCACCGGAGGACGCCATAGCGCTAGGCCTGTCCCTGGCTTGGGGGCACGGACATGGGGTTTTTCCAGACAGCGCTTCCCTGATGGCTTCTCTCCCATCCATCCCCCTCCAGGGGATTTATGCTCAGAGGAGAACTGATGCCCAGAAGGTCAAAGAGGATGTGGTCAACTATGCCCGTTTCAAGTGGCCCTTGCTCTTCTCCAGGTTTTATGAAGCCTACAAATTCTCAGGTACCTCCTCAGCCTTCCCACCTCACCGTCTTCCTCCACGCCCTCTCCCCTCCCTCACTCTGTGGCTCCAGCCCACAGCAGAAAGTGGGAAGTGGCCTGAACCAGACTCCCCAGCCAGCCAGGCTCCTGCCTGCAGGGTTGCTCAGTCCTTCTGGATCAATGCGCAGAGTGGGTCCTGACTGCCCCCAGTCCAGGTGCTCAGCAACACTCTGGGTTAAACAACTGAACGACTATTAAGATAGTTAAAGCACCTACTGTGTACAGAAGAAGCTGGCCCAGAGTATAGGCTGAGCATGGAGGGAACGGGTCCAGACTCACTGAGGCTGTCGGCCCCACCATCCTCAGGTCCTAATTACCCAGCATCTGCTCCGTGCGAGGCCCTGTGCTGATGCAGGGCTTCACACGATCACCAAATATCTACCTGGAGGGACCCTTGGGGCTCAGTTTACCCCCTCCCCATATCCCACCTCTCTCAGGACGGGGACTTGTCCAAAGACCAGAGGCAGGGATAGGACTCAAACCAAATTTCCTGATTTCAGCACTCTCCTCCCATTGCACTTTTGGCTTGTAGGGAGGTTATGCTCTCTGAGGCTCAGTTTCCCTATCAGTAAAATGGAAATCAGTATACTCCCCCTTCCTACCTCCCTGGTGGTTATAGGACTGGGAAGGGCCGGGCTGGGTGCAAGGCAGCCTCCCTCTCACTGCCTGGGTCTCCGTCCCAGGCCCCAGCCTCCCCAAGAATGACGTTATCGTGGCAGTCAACTGGACGGGCGTCTACTTTGTGGATGAGCAGGAGCAGGTGCTTCTGGAGCTGTCCTTCCCTGAGATCATGGCTGTGTCCAGCAGTAGGTCAGTCCACCCCCTCCCACACTGCACTTTAGTGTAGAGCAGGGAGTTGTCCGAAGCTGCCCAGAGACCAGTGGCAGGGATGTGTCAAGCCTCAGGGTCCTGATTCAGCACCGTCTGAAGCAAGGAGGGGGCTCCTGGAGCTTTCCGGGGGCGATGAGGGCCTTTAAGGGGGAGTCTCTACCCTCACAGAGGATGTCGTGGAGGTGCAGGGACCTCAGTGCCCTGTCCTGGTTGCACGTGACCGAGCCGTTTGTGCTGCTCTGTGCAGACTCCTCAGGCACCTCCCTCCGGAAGGACAGTCAGGGGCAGTCAATTGTGTCCAGAGAGAGCCTGGCTTGGGGTTCAGGCGCCTGGGTGGAACTCCCCTCCACGTCCTCATCCCTAAAGCCTTAGTACTTCCCTTGAATAACAGTGGTGAGAGAGAAATGCAAAAATCGGTGGGAGAACTCTGTAAACTGAAAGGTGTGGAGCACGCAAGAGCTGTGCTGGGGGTGGCTTTCTGGAATAGACTGGTGTTCCCAGCAGGCCCTCCCCAGAGCCGGGGCTTACAGGAGTGTCTCTGGGCTGTGTCTGCTGTGGTCCAGGGCTGGGCATGTCCAGCTCCGACCAGGCATGAGCTAGGCACAAGGACGTGGGGTGATAGGACAGTCCTTGCCCCCTTGCAGCTTCCTTCAGTCAAGAGGGGAGACAGACACTGAACAGGCTGTTTTAAAGCAGGCACCAGCATGGGAGGGCAGGGAGGACTTCCTGGCAGAAGCGGTTATCTAGGCTGAGATCTAAAGGGTATAGGAATTAGGCAGCAAAGGGGCTTGGGCTGGGCCCTCTCCGGCCTCGCTCTGCACCATGTGTGACGTAGGCAGGACCAGGTCTGACTCAGGCTGGGCTGGGCCTGGCCTGGGCCATGTCTCCGCCTGGCCGGGCCGCGTCTGACTGGGCTGGCCTTGGTCTCCTTCAGGGAGTGTCGTGTCTTGCTCTCGCTGGGCTGCTCTGACCTGGGCTGTGCTGCGCCTCACTCGGGCTGGGCAGGACTGACCCCGGCTGGGCCCTGTTCTCCGTGTTGGTCCTGCAGGGGAGCAAAACTGGTAGCCCCCAGCTTCACGCTGGCTACCATCAAGGGGGATGAGTACACCTTTACCTCCAGCAACGCTGAGGACATCCGTGACCTCGTGGTCACCTTCCTGGAAGGGCTCCGGAAGAGGTCGAAGTACGTGGTGGCCCTGCAGGACAACCCCAACCCTGGTGAGTGGCTCCTGGTGCAGCCTGCTGGGCACGGGGGTGGGAGGGGATGGGCAGGGGCATTGGGCAGATCACACACCTTGACCTTGGCCTGGCATTCAAGACCGCCAGTGCCTGTTAAAACCCTTCCCCAGATACCCTTGCCTCCGCCTGGACCAAAAGCCCAACTCTGCACCTTCCATCTGTGCCCTGTGGGGAATCTACCTCAATGGTCCTTCCATATTTATCACCCGTCACCTTCTCCAGGTGACATCAGGGGTTCCTCCTGGAGCCATGGAAGGCTTCTGAGCAGGGAGTGGCCCACTCCAGTGGCCATGTCTGTGTGGAAGGTTGTGGCAAATTAGAGGCAGGGTGACCAGTGAGCAGACATGAGTGGGACTGGCCTCAGTTATTCAGGGTGGGGAGTTAACAGTTGATAGGTCATCAACCTAAATAAAGATGTTCCAATCCAGCCTCTCTCTCTGCCCCCCTGTGGTCCTGCTCACCTCTGCCTGCCAGCGGGGGAGGAGTCAGGTTTCCTCAGCTTTGCCAAGGGAGACCTCATCATTCTGGACCATGACACGGGAGAGCAGGTCATGAACTCAGGCTGGGCCAACGGCATTAATGAGAGGACCAAGCAGCGTGGGGACTTCCCCACTGACTGCGTGTATGTCATGCCCACTGTCACCTTGCCACCGCGGGAGATTGTGGTATGTGGCTTGGGGGTGGCAGATGGATGGGAGCCTCCTCCGAGCCTCTCTCTGTCTTCTTCCCATGTCTGTAAAATGGAGTGAGGGATTATAATAGATGAATGGCCTACAGTTTTTCTGAAGATGATCTGGGGGTCTTCTGGGACCACAAACTTAAACTCGGGGAAGCTATCAGACCTCTGCTGGGTGGAGAGTGGCCTAGAAACTTCATCACATGAGGAACTACCCAGGGTGAGGGATGGAAGGAGAGTGGGGAAGGGAGGCATCACCTTGCACTGTCTGCAAGGGCACTGAGGGCCGAGCTGGGAAGGGGGTTGTTCTGGATCACAGCTCTGGAGACTCAGAGCCCAGCTTTCCAGGCAGCCCCTGAGCCAGGCCCTGTTGACTGGGCAGTTCTCATACAACATCCCCCTCCTCCATCCTGGCTTTTTCACTGACCCAACCTGGTTTAGACTCGGGGTACTGAGGAAAGGACCCCGAGTCCAGCAGATGGAGGCAGCAATAACCTCAGAGATCGCAAAGAGCCAAAGGGCTCCCAGGGTCAGAGTGGTGAGGGTCAACCCCATGGCGGCAGACTTCCCCAGCCCTGGTCCAGAAGGCTCTGGGCTTTACCACGTTGGCCCCAGGGGCCCCAGGGCCCCCAGGTGAAGAGCTGACCTCAGACCCTTGTCTCTTGGCCTCTAGGCCCTGGTCACCATGACCCCTGACCAGAGACAGGACGTCATTCGGCTCTTGCAGCTGCGAACAGTGGAGCCCGAGGTGCGCGCCAAGCCCTACACGCTGGAGGAATTTTCCTACGACTATTTCAGGTGACGGGGAAAGGGTAGGCGGGCCAGGCCAGTGAGCTGCAGGCTTCTGCTCCTCTAGTCCGCGTGCTGGGGCTGCCTCCTGCAGCTGCGTGTGAGAGCAGGGCCTGGGTCAGAGGGAGCAGGAGGGCAGCACGTTCCTTGTGCTGTGCCATTTTATCCTTCCTTCATTTAAGAGAGCATGACTGTGGTCACCCCAGGTGGGGTCCTGGGCACTCACAACTCATGCCTGTGCCTGTCTCATTGACTCACAGTCCTGGTGGGGAGACAGGCACAAAACTGGGCCACTGTGATTCTGTGTGCCCAGCACTGTGATGGGGATACTGGGGGAGAGGGGTGGTGACCGAGGAGAGGCTTCCTGGAGGAGGCAGCATCTGAGCTGTGCAGGGGGTGACCTGGATGGGGGAATGCCGCAGGCAGCTCATGCCGAGGCCAGAGCAGAGATAGCAGAGAGGAGCAGTGGGGAGGAGGCCACGGGGGTGGGCAGGGCTGGCTTCCTAGCTGAGAAAGTAAGGTCCAGGGAGGGCTGGTGACTCACCCCAGGTCACCCAGTACAGCAGGGGCGGGTCTCACAACCCCTAGGCTCAGTGCCGACTGTGCCTTGTCAGGCCCCCACCCAAGCACACGCTGAGCCGGGTCATGGTGTCCAAGGCCCGTGGCAAGGACCGGCTGTGGAGCCACACACGGGAGCCGCTCAAGCAAGCACTGCTCAAGAAGATCCTGGGCAGCGAGGAGCTCTCCCAGGAGGCCTGCATGGCCTTCATCGATATCCACGCCTGCAGGGTGGGCGGCATGGAAGGGCAGGGCCGGGGGCACCAGGCCCCTGCCTCCAGGGTTTTCATCCAGATACCCACTGCCTTCTGAGGGGCCCAGGTGGGTCCTGGGCAGCGTGGAGTGGCTTCGTCTGTGTGCCTGGCACCTTACAGTGTACGAGGGGCTGCCTCCTCCACTGTCCCCTCGGACCCTGTCATTTGGTTCCAGATGTGTATTGTCATGTGCCTGGCCAGGCACAGAGACACAGCTGTGACCAGACCCAGTCCCTGGCCCCCTGGTGCCTATAGCTAAAAGGGGCTATGACGGAGCCAGGTGGCACAGCGAACTGGTGTAGCCATGGAGAGGAGGGCAGGGGGCCTTCCTGGATGAAGGGGTATCTAGGCTGAGACCTGAAGCCTGAGTAGGACCTAGCCAGTCAGGAGGTGGGTGGGGAGTGTTCCCGACAGAATGAGCACATCCTAAGGCCCTGAATCACAACCTGACTTAGCACCGGTGGAGGGCAGAGGTCTAGAAGGGAGTCTGAAGATGTGGGCAGCCTAATGAAGGGTTCTCAAGTTCTGTTAAGAAGCTTGGACTGTATCCCAAAGCTGCGAGGAGCTACTAAGCAGGGGGGTGGCACAGTCAAGATTTGTGATTTGTAAAGTCCATCTCGGTTGCTTTGAGGACTTAGGACGGGGCGTTGGGGCTGAGGTGGTGAGGTGAGGAGGTAGCCAGAGGAGGTGAGGAAAGGGTGGGCAGTAGGCATGGAGAGCAGGGTGGGCGGGCCATGCCCATTCGCTGAGTGGGTAGCCTGAGGCTCGGGGCACACAGTTGGGTGGGGGCAGACCCCAGGAGAGAGCGTGGGCTCCTGGGTCAGTCCTCCTCCCATCGGCCACAAGCCCTTCCTTGACGGCTCCCCACCGATGCTCAAGTACATGGGCGACTACCCATCCAAGAGGGCGCGCTCTGTCAATGAGCTCACCGACCAGATCTTCGAGGGCGCCCTAAAGGCCGAGCCCCTCAAGGACGAGGTGTACGTGCAGATCCTGAAGCAGCTGACCGACAACCATATCAGGTGGGTGGGGATGGCAGGCAGGGGGTTGCGGGGTGGCCTCCCCCAAGTGCTCACAGCTGAAGGGAATCTTAAAGGTCCTCTGCCCGTTGTGACAGGGAGCTTCCTCCGTCCCAAGGCAGCAGCTGGCCCTGCCTGGCGGCAGTCCTTCCTCACTCAGGCCCTGTCACGTCTTACCTCTGCCCCAAGGTCCAAAGAAGTCTGGTCAAGCACCAAGAGGTGGTGGCTGCACCCTCTGAATCTGTCCTCTGCCAAGTCTGACAGCACCAGCTTCTCCTGAACTTCCTCCACTCCCTGCCTGACCTTCCTCTGGGTACCCCTCCCCAGCCCAGACTCCATTCTGCCCGTGGGCTGCGGTCCTGAGCAAATGTCCCCAGTCTGGCTCGGGTTGCGCGGGCTGTCACTTAGAAGCTCTGGCTGAAAATTCTGGGCTGAAGGTACTGGATCCCAGAGGGTGTCACCTTGTCCCTGCTGGGTCAGACCATGGCAGGAATGGGAAGTCAGGGACACGCTAAGTCTCAGAGCCTGAGGGAAGCCCCACCAGCTCCCCTTATTCCCAGGCCCCCAAGTATGATGCCAGGTTTGTCATTTTCTGCACCTCTTACAAAATCCACCATCGAACCACACTCAGACCTTTTTACACTGGTGAAGCTTGGTACATGCTGTGCTCACAGCTGGCACTTACCTCCTTTTTTGCACGTCAGAATTTGCGTCAGCCTTCAAAACCTTGATCAAATGCCACCTCCTCCTAGAAGTCCTCGATGCTTCTCTCTGCCAGGCCCAAGGAGCTCAGAGTAGTGCCCGATGGAGCCCAGGGTTGGGTCTGACTCAGTGCTCCCTAAAGAACAGATGAGTTAAAGAGCTTTGCCAGAGTACAAATTACACAGTGCTTCCTTCATAGGAAAGTCTTGCTAAGAAAAACAGTCTCCACCAAGCCAAGAGTGCTGGGTGACATAGCTGATGCTCATTCTGGCACGAATGAGCACCTTGCCTCCATGGGGGCTGGCCGACCACACTTTGAGTAGCACTAACTGGCTCTGGCCGTCGGGGAGGTGGGTCCGTGTTGGTCCCCAGAAAAGAGGCGTGGGGGTCAAGGCAGGCACGTGCTGCCACGGTGAGTGCTCGGACCCATGTGCCCCCGCCGGACCTCAGCCTCTTCCCGCAGGTACAGCGAGGAGCGTGGCTGGGAGCTGCTCTGGCTGTGCACCGGCCTCTTCCCCCCCAGCAACATCCTGCTGCCCCACGTGCAGCGCTTCCTGCAGTCCCGCAAGCACTGTCCCCTCGCCCTCGACTGCCTGCAGCGGCTCCAGAAAGCCCTGAGGTACGGCGGCCCACGAAGAGCAGAGGCGTGGGCCAAGGGCCTGTGGCAGGTGCTGGGGTGGGTGCCCGGCCCCGGGAGGGTGTCCCTCGGGGATGAGGGCATGACCACACAGTGGGCGGGACCTGTCCCTGGGGTCCCACAGCTGCCAGCTGGACAAAGGCTGTGGCGCGAGGTGCCCATTCTGGACACAATTGCATCTGGCTGCCCAGAAGGGCGGGCGCACGCCTTCCAGTGTGGCGGGAGGTGGATGCCTGGGCCGCCCTCCGGACCCTGCTCGGCCCACGTGCATCCTTCACCTCTCGCGGTCCCCTCCGCAGCCCTCTTTGGTGGGCACTGTTCTCTCATTGTCCAGTCGAGGGGCTGGAGGCTCGCGGAAGTTAAGTGACGGTCACCTGGTGGGATGTGGTGGACAGAGATAAGAACTGGGGTCTGTCTCCGAAGTTCGCTCTGTTCCCTGCTCCCCGTGGCCCCATGAACCCACCGGCTCCTGACCGCCCCTCCGCCCCTCTCCTGGCTTTCAGAAACGGGTCCCGGAAGTACCCCCCACACCTGGTGGAGGTGGAGGCCATCCAGCACAAAACCACCCAGATTTTCCACAAGGTCTACTTTCCTGACGACACCGATGAGGTGAGGGCTGCTGGCTTCTTGGTGAAGCCCAGGTTCCCCGAGGACACAGGGGGCGGCCCTGATGCCTCTCCCCTGTCACCCCCCCCCCATTTGCTCCCATCCTCCTCCTCAGTGGAGTCAGGGCTCGGCTGAGAGGCTACAGACTCCCTGGGTCGGGAGACCTTGGGTTCCCCGGTCTGACCTTCTGTTGTCTCTGGCAGCTTCCCTGAGAAGATCATTCTTCCCTCTCTCTGAGGCAGCTCTGCCTCCGAGAAAACACTCTCTCCCTCTGAGCTGAGCTCTATGCTGGTGCCATGTCCCTGATGTGAGCTGTGCTCCGGTCACAGGCCCGCCTGCCCAGGCCTCTCCTATTGCCCTGGCCCACTTTCCTGCAAGCCCCCTCCTTCTTCCTCACCTGACCTGACTGTAGGTTGCCTTGTCCAACGGTTCCGTTAGTCTTCCCGTCATGCCCATTAGGTCAGCTGCCTCCCGACCCCCACTCCTTGCCCCATCCTGGCACAGCGTCTCGTTAGAGAAATGAACCCAGCACCAAAGCTTTTAGTTTGACAAGCAGCTGTAGAGCTTGTCTAGAGACTAGGGACTCGGAAATGTCATGCTAGGATTCCAGTGACAAGGACAAGACTCTAACAAATCCTTTCCTGTCCCTCCAGTGGGAAGGAGTCCCCACATTCCACACCTACCCCCACCCCAGGCTGCTTCTCCTCCCCCCGCACCTTTCTGGAATTTGCTTTCTTCTTCCAGCCTCTCTCCTCCCACTCACCCTGCCTACCTTTGCTCCCTTGGCATCGGGTCCCCCATGCTTGTACAGCCAGGCCCACAACCCTGGAAGCAGAGGCTGAGTCTGCTTGGAGGGTTGGGAAGGACACAATCTGGGAAGATCCAGACAGGAGCTGCTTTTTCCTTTCCTTTTTTTTTTTTTTTTTTTAAATATTTATTTTTAAGAGAAGAGACAGAGTGTGAGTAGAAGGGGGCAGAGAGAGAAGGAGACACAGAATCCAAAGCAGGCTCCAGGCTCCAAGCTGTCAGCACAGAGCCCGATGCGGGGCTCGAACTCATGAACCGTGAGATCGTGACCTGAGCCGAAGTCAGTCGCTTAACCGACTGAGCCACCCAGGAACCCCTGCTTTTTCCTTTTCTTAAATGCTGCACCCAGCTCTAGACCCACGGGGAACACCACAGGTGGAGGGAGCCCTGCATGGGCGGGAGGGGGCTCAGTCTAGTTACAGGCACAGAGACAGGAGCCCAGGAAGCCCCAGCCGCCACCACCTGTCCCCACCCCCACTCCCCAGGCCTTTGAGGTGGAGTCCAGCACGAAGGCCAAAGACTTCTGCCAGAACATTGCAGCCCGGCTGCTCCTCAAGTCCTCCGAGGGATTCAGCCTCTTTGTCAAAATTGCAGACAAGGTGGGTGATGGGTCGTTGGCTTCCTATCAGGCTGCTGTTGGTCTGTCTGTTGGAACATTTACTGGGGCCATAGGAGCTCACAGGGCAGCAGGGAGGGGAGAGAAGGGAAGAGAGAGGTGTGCTTGCGTGTGGCATCTGATTGTGTCCCTCTCCTCCTTATGCCCCTGCAATGGCCCCCTTACCTGTGGCAGCTTCCTGTAAACGTCTCTCCTCTGAGGCACTGCAGAGCATGACCTCAAACCTCTTGGGAGCCATGTGGCACTTTAGGTTCTGGACACACAAGGCTCATGGCCTGCCACAACACACATGAACTTCCCAGGTTTGATCTGACTAGTCCCTCAGCTGCCTCGCGAAGGCCAATTAACCCTTGAAATAACCCAACAGATGACAAAACATGGACTTAGAAAAGTTAAGTAACTTATCCAAAGTCACACAGATGCAAGTAGGTCTGACTCCAAAGCGCAGGCCCCCTGCCTGCACCATTCCACATTGCTCTTCCTCACTCCTGTGTCCATGAAGGTCAAGGCCCTAGCTTTAAAGCCTCTTGCTGCGGAAAGGCTTCCTTGGCCATGTCAGGTAGATCAGGTGCTCACAGTTCCCTGTGCATCCATGTTGGCCTCCTCATTTCACACCTGTCCCTGTGCCAGGCACTGGGGACCCACAGGTGATCTCAGTAAGGTCCTCAATCCAGAGGAGCTTGGAGCCTGTGGGATGAGCAGGTCACGGATGCTGGAGAGTGTCCAAGGCCTCAAGACCTCATTCTTGGCCTTCTCCCCAGGGCTTAATCTTTGCTGAATGACTGAATGGAATGACTGTCATTCTAGGTGGGAAGTAGGCTGTGTTCTGGAGACGACTCAATAGGCATAGTTAGGGCAGAGTGGGCCACCCTTCTGGCTGCAAGAAAGGGCCACTAGGAAGGCCTTGGGTGGGAAAGTCAGAAAACTGAGTACTGCTGGAACTATAATGAGTGGACTGGAATGGCCATGTCCCTAGGTCATCAGCGTCCCCGAGAATGACTTCTTCTTCGACTTTGTTCGACACCTGACAGACTGGATAAAGAAAGCACGGCCCGTCAAGGATGGTAATGTGAGGCTGGGCCCTGAGGCCATCTGAGGCCCGGAGCAGAGCAGGTGCCGGCGCAGGGCCACACCACGAGGCCCGCCTGCGTGGGACCTGAGCTAGGGCCTCTGCTGGGGCTGGGGCTGGTGCTGGGCAGGGGCGACCCTCTGTGCTGGGACGCTCTGAGTGACCAATTGCCCTCTGCCACAGGAATCGTGCCCTCGCTCACCTACCAGGTGTTCTTCATGAAGAAGCTGTGGACCACCACGGTGCCCGGGAAAGACCCGATGGCCGATTCCATCTTCCACTATTACCAGGTGCGCCGCCCCGCACCTCTCTGCTGGGCTGCCCCCGCGTGCTGCTGGCCTCGCCAGGAGAGGGGCCTCAAATAGCACGGCCTCCAGGAGATTCTTGCTGGGATCCTGGGGGAGTAGCTCAGAGGCAGACCCTTCTCCTTCCTTGGGGCCTTTCTTCTGAGACCTTAATCCCCACCCGTTCAGGCCCTTCCCTTGGTGAGGGGCTGTCCTCTGAAAGAGACTCTGCTGCCATACCTGGGTGTATCCGAGGCAGCTGTGTGTGTAAACGCTTTCCAGCACAAGCATGTGCCTGCAGGAAGTCAGGGGAGGCCCCTGTGTTGAACCTCTGTTCGTTTGTCTGGTGCTTTTCACTCATTCTGCCCTCCCAACAAATAGGCACGTTCTCATTTTATAGAGGGAGAAACTGAGACATCAAGTGCTGGGATTAGGATTACAGGGTGGATAGAACTAATTTGAGTCCATGGCTTCACTGCTGCTGACTCAGTGATCTTTTCTGGGCCAGCCCTGTTTACAGCCTTCCGTAGGGGAGACAGGCCAGGATGCTGGGAAGGTTGATGGAGACCGGGATGGCGGCGGCTGTGGTAGAGAGAACCCTTGCCTGGGAGGCAGCAGGGCTCATTCACCGTGAGCTCTGCCCCTCCCCATGGTGCCCTTTTAGTGAAAGGCAACACGTACGTCAGCTACCGTTTCCCCCAAGGCAGAAACCCAAGTCAGCCTTGACGTCTCCCTCTCCCTCATTTCCCATGTTCCCAATAATTCACCTGATGACTTCACCTCCCAAACTCTAACATCCATGCACATCTCTGCATTACCACCTGGAACCAGCTCAGGTCAGCCCATCTTGTCTCATCTGGACGAAGCTGGTAACCTTTCCCCTGAGCCTCCCTGTCCATTTTTGTCCCCTTTGAATCCATTCTTCACATGGGGGTCGTCAAGCCTTTGGGATCCTTTCAGTGGCTTCCCATTGCTCTCAAGGTAGAATGCCAAAGCCTGACTCTGGCCCTGCATGGGGGTGCCACTAGCTACTTCTGCTGCCTTGTCTTATACCCAGCACCCCTTTTTTTGCTTCACTTAGCTATAGTTCTTCAAGTTCTCAGGTATGCTTGGGAGCCTTTGTGACATTTTCTCTTCTGGGAAGCTTTCCCCTAGGTTCTTTCCTTCACCTACTGAGCTTTTAGATGTTAATCATCATAAGGGAAGTCTTCCCTCTTCCTAAGCCTAGATCAGGTCAACCTGATATGCTGTCCTAGCACTGAGAACACTTCCTTCAGATATTGTAATTATACATCGATTTGGGGTGATGGATGTCTGTTCTGGCCTTGACTACAAGTTCCTTGAGAGTAGGGAGGGTTGTTGCTTAAAGGGCCTGGCTCATAGTAGATGCTCAATGAATATTTGTTGGCTTGACAGATGGGTAAATAGGCAGTGAGTCTGTGAATGAATGGGTGGGAGGATGGAGGGTGAATGAACTTAGGGGTAGATATTGGTGGGTGGAGGGAGGGACAAATGGAAAATGGATACGGGCAGGCAGAACCATATGGGTGGGCAGGTGGATGGATGGAGGTGGGTGAGTAGATGAAAAGGCGGATGGATAATAATTGACGCAGGTTTCCAATCCGCAGTGCGTCCTCAGGCCAGCCGCAGTTTCCCTATGCTTCGAAGAGTAGGTACCACAGCTGTAAGGCTGTGGGCAGTGTTGGCCATTTAGAAGCTTCATCTTTGCTTGTGGTCCACTCCTCCTCCTCAGCTACTGGAAGCTGGAAGTGGGGAAGAGCCTGGTGGTGCGGCTGAAACTAGCAGGTCTCAAGGGAATAGAATGGGAGACCAGCCTGAGAGGCTTTCCCAAGGAAGGACAGGCTCGGAAGGTTAGGGGTGTGGAACAGGCTCAGGTTCACTAGCTGGTCACTCTGAGTTTCTTCATCTTTGAAACATGGCTGCTCACCTCCCCGGACTGTTATGAGGGGAAATGAAATCATGATATCCATGCATAGCTCTGCTTTCCAACTGTAATGTGCTGAGGCTGTGCAAGCACGGTGCTGTTTCCCTGTACTGTGCGGTCTCCCCTCGAAGCACAGCGTCAGCTGAGGCTGGAGGCAAAGGGAGGCCCAAATGTGTGGTAGGGCAGGAGACCCAGCCTCACGTGGCAGGAAGGAGCCCAGGTCCTCCTTTCCCCTCCTCGCCTGAGGCGGGCTCTGTCTCTGGCAGGAGCTGCCCAAGTATCTCCGAGGCTATCACAAGTGCACGCGGGAGGAGGTGCTGCAGCTGGGGGCGCTGATCTACAGGGTCAAGTTCGAGGAGGACAAGTCCTACTTCCCCAGTATCCCCAAGCTGCTACGGGAGCTGGTGCCCCAGGACCTCATCCGGCAGGTCTCCCCTGACGACTGGAAGCGGGTGAGTCTGGAGGAGGAGGCAGGACCAGGGGTCTCTGGGCGCCCCACGGGGCAGGGGGCAGGTGCTGGCCGGAAGCCCAGGGAGGTATCTCTTGTGGGCCCTGTGGGTGATAAGGTCACCCTCTCACTTTCCCTTCCTCTTGCTTTAGTGTCCAGTCGTCCAGGCAAAGGACTCGCCTGGCTGTTTGGTAGTAACTTGCCCTGTCCTGGTTGCCATGGTGACCTGATTTTACCTGCTAGTCTTTGGTCTGCTTGCTTAGGGGTGGAGAGGGAAATAAGGATGCCCTCCTTATTTTGAGGGGTGGTGGGGGGAGCCCCTCATGGCCTCCAGGGGCCCCATCTTATGCCTGCCCCTTCAGGGCCCATGACCGATAACAGTGCAGGTGAGGTAGGGGCGGCAGGGGAGCGGCTTCTGAGCCCCACCCCCACCCCTCCCTACAGTCCATTGTTGCCTACTTCAACAAGCATGCCGGGAAGTCCAAGGAGGAGGCCAAGCTAGCCTTCCTAAAGCTCATCTTCAAGTGGCCCACCTTTGGTTCAGCCTTCTTTGAGGTGAAGGTACGTTAAGGGTGGCTTCTCAGGAGGAAGGGACTAGGGAGTGGGACAAGAAGGCACAGGAATGCCTCTCCAGGACTGCGGGAAACGCTGGGATGGCCTCTGCCACCTGCCCTGGCGAGGAAAGGAGGGAAGCACCCTCAGCTTTGTACCACCTGGGCATCTCAGCCTTGGGGCATGAGGGACCCCCAGCCGCTCAGCTTGACAGGGGAGACAGATGTGTAAACAAGCCAGAGTAATAGAGAATGATCTGTGCTGTGACAAGGGGGAGCCCTTATCAAGGTGGTGGAGCCTGGGAGGCCCACCCAGGCTGAGAAGGCCACACGTGAGCTTTGCAGGAAGGCCCTGGGGAGAGTGATCCTGGAAGAGGGCCTACAGGAAGCGCGAGTGGCTGAGTATGGATGGGCGCAGGGTATGAGATGAGCAGACTGCGGTGAGGCAGGCTGGCAAACTGGCGCGGGGGTTGGGTTTCCTTGTGCAGGTGGTGGCCAGCCCTGGGGGGTTCTGAATGGGAATGATGGGGCCGGAAGTCCACTCTGACTGGGGCGTGAGGGTGGGCCTGCGGGGCGTGCTGGAGGCAGGAGATGGGAACAGGAAGGCACGAGAACTGGGGGGGGGGGGGGGGTAGGTCAGGCTGGAGAGGAGGGGATGACCTTGTTACATACCTTGGACAGGAGGCCTTTTGAGAAGCCTGGCTGTGCAAAGGAGAGAGGGAAGCTGGAGGCAGGAGAGTTCAAATGGGTTTTTTTTAACAGGGCAGACATTGGGCTGAGAGAAGAGATAGCCCAGAGTCCTAGAGAAGGGATGAAATTGCTCCCGAAAAGGGTGGGAGATGGGGGTCCCTTAGGAACCCACGAAGGGATCTGGGTAGCACTGAGGGCTCAGCAGAGGTGGAAACCGTGGGGTTAAGGCAGGGCCTTTGGGCCTGCTGCACCCCTGGCATCAAGCAGGGGAGGGCGACGTATTCCTAGCACACTGCTTTCCCTGCTCTGGGCTCCCCCAGCTCTCTGATGGTTTCCGGCTTTCTTTGCTAGCAAACTACGGAGCCAAACTTCCCTGAGATCCTCTTAATTGCCATCAATAAGTATGGGGTCAGCCTCATCGATCCCAGAACCAAGGTGAGTGGTGACAGGAAAGAGCGGAGGTCTGCTTCTCTGTCTGCACCTCTAACAACGACCCCCAGACCCAACCCCCCAAAGCCCCTGCTGGCCACCATCCTCACTTCATCTGCCCTCTTGGCCACACATCTTGAGAAGCGGTCTGTTTGCTTTGTCTATTTCTGTACCTGCTCCATCAAAATTGCTCTCCTAGAGTTACTAGGCAACACCTTGCTACTAAGTCCAGTGAACTTTTTAGTACTTGGCCTTTTAGCATCATTGCTCTACCAACCCTTCTTTCCTTCCAGAATTTTCTCCACCCACATTGGGCAGGATGGCAGACTGTACTGCGGTAACTACTGCTCCTCTTTATGGGCCAGAGCAGTCCTCACCAAGGGAACCCGGAAGCACAGGACCACTGGCAAAGGGTGCCAGTGGCCACCACCTTCCCCTTCTGTTCATGTGCCCCACTTTCCTGGGTCTCTTCCTCTCTCTTGGTCATTCTTCTCACATACTTTGGTGGGATTCTTTTCCACCCACACACATGGTGCTCCCTGAGGCCGTCCTGACGTCTTCTTGACTTCCTCCTCAGGACCCTCTCATCCAAGACCCCCGTTTCCATTCCTTCAGGCCTCCCAAACTTCCAGTTCCAGCCCCACATACCCCACAGCCTCGTGGACATGGGAGGAGAAGGCATCGGCCTCCCCTGGCATCTCCACGGCAGAGCTGGCTTCTCTCTTCTTGCTGCCTCTCTTGTCTGAGGGCCCAAGGCCTTTCTGGCGGGTGTGGGCTGGTGCTGAGGGGGAGGTGAGGCCAGAGGGTCTAGCCTCTGCAGCCTCAGATTTTCTCTGCTTTCCCAGGACATCTTGACCACGCATCCCTTCACCAAGATCTCCAACTGGAGCAGCGGCAGCACCTACTTCCACATCACCATCGGGAACCTGGTGCGCGGGAGCAAACTGCTCTGTGAGACGTCACTGGTGAGACCTCCTCTATGTAGGCCTAGTAGGGCTCCCCTACTTTGTGTGAAGCTCCAGCCATCCTCTCTCAGTCCCCAGAACAAACGTGAGGAATGCATGGCTTGGCCTGAGACCGGGGCCAAGGTCAGCTTGAGGCTCAGCTTAGGTCTGGGAAAGGGGATTAGTATGGGGTTGAGGACAGACCTCTTATTTAATAACTACTGTTTGAATGGCTTCAGTATCTGGGGACTGAGCCTTTAGCCCCTGAGTTCAACACTGGTACCATTAGCATTGAGGCCTCATGGACTGAGCTGAACTTCTACAGCATGGCTCGACTGGTAAAGCCTTTAGAGGCACCAGGATGTGAGGGGCCTACAAGCGAGGGCCTTCACGTAGGGTCGTAACACCTGGGAGCCTTAGACGTGTGGCTGAACGAGTCCAACCCTTCAGCTGTGCGGCTGGGGAGATGGAGTCCAGAGCAGTACAGGCTTCTCCTTAGTCCAAGGCTCTGCCCTCTGTGGTTTCCTGGGAGTGTGCTGGGTCTGAACGGGCTGACCCTGTCCCGCTATCGGCGCTGTTCATCTTCTTGTGCTGTTTCCAGGGCTACAAGATGGATGACCTCCTGACTTCCTATATTAGCCAGATGCTCACGGCCATGAGCAAACAGCGGGGCTCCAGGAGTGGCAAGTGAACAGTGGGGGAGGTGGTGCTGGCTCAGGCCCATCAGCTACCTCTGCAGCTGGGGGACGACTTCTGCCATCTGGGCAGGGAGACTGGGCCAGCCACCACCACGGATTATTATACCAACTTGGCCTCTGATCCTCTTCCAGTGAGGCCGCCTTGCTGGGATGCAGAACTCCCCTCTATCCACTCCTGAGGGGTGGTTCTAGCTCTGGCTGGCTGTGGCCTTCCCAGTGGTAAAAGCCTGTGCTCCGTGGGTGCCTTTCTTAGACCAGCCCCACCATGCGGCCTCCCTTGACTTTCCGTGCAACCACTGTGTCAGGGAATCAAGAGGACAACCTAGTTCTCCGTACTGGGACCAAGCAAACCAACCAAGAATATTCTGAAATCCAAGGGACTGGCTTAATTCCTGTAAGTCCAGAATTCTCAGCTGGGATGAGGGAGACAGACTACTTTTCTATATTGCAGTGTGAGTGTTGAGCCCTGTGTTAGTCTCCCCTGATCACCGCAGGGTATAAAGTATGTGTTTGATCATTTGGCCCTCTGGTGTCTTTGCTGGGGAAGGGGAGAGAGTGGGGTGTGGCCTGTAGGAATATCTCCTCAGTCTGTGTGCACAGGGCTGAGCTGGTCTGGGTTTGGGGTGCCTGAGCCCAAGGTGTGCTTGAAAGGGGCTTAAAGGGACTGGCTGGGACCATGGTGGGTTGGAGGTAAATGTTAGGACATCAGCCTGGGACGTAGGGGCCAGATTCTGGGCCTTAACTGGGGCCAGGGGAGCCAGAGTGACCCTTACCTCCTGTAAGAAACATTTCCTTGATTTATCAAGAACTCCAAGAATGATGCTACCTAAGGTTAAATCCTTATGTCACCACGGTGCCTATAATAGGTTGTTTTGTGACCAGGATGAGACAACCAAATTTGGCTGAGATCTGGTCAGGAATGGGAATGGGGGCTTCAGACAGGGAGGTAGGATTTGGGGGTGAGGGACCCTCCTCGGCCATGGCTGGGAAGAGTGCCTAGAGGAGTGACAGTGGAGACTGCCCTGGAGGAGAGTATGAGTCCCTAAGTCCTTACTGCCCTCACACTCACAAGTGTCCTGGGTCATGTGCATCCAGATGCCAAACACTCCAGAGGGCGTTCTGTTCCCGTTCTCCTCAGCTACCTGTGTGGGAAGAGCTGGTTGTGAAAATGGAGGCCCCAAACCAGACAGCCTGCTTTCTGGGATGACCATGTGGCTGTCTGAGACAGCACTGCCCCACCAGTGTTCACACAGCTCCATAGACAGCCTCAGATAAGCCTGAGCCAGGAGGAGGTGCTGTGGTGGTCTGCTTCTACCCCACCATAGCGGTGGGGATACAGAGGCCCAGAGAAGGTATGGGAATAGGTGAAGGTCACACAGAACTCAGTTCACTGTTTGTTTGTTTTTAACATTTAGCTCCGAGACACAAAGGGCTCCAGATGCTTGTTCTATGCCCCAGTTCCCCTTCAAGGTCTAGGGCTATGGGGTAGGCACAGGATTATGCCCATCATCCCATGCAGTGGGCGGGATGAGATCTTTCCCCCAATTCATGTCTTTGCCCACACCACTTCTCATTCTCTGACTCAGGATAGCATTACTTTTGCACTCATCCCCGAGCCTCTGTCAGCCTGAGTGATCGCAGAGGGGTCCAAAGAACATGCCATTAACCTCCTGGGTTCCTGAGAGGCTGCCTTTATTCCCATGCTGACGTGCACAACAAAGCCATTCCTTTAGCAGGAAGCACTGTGAAGGGGTAGGACAAGAAACCCTGTACCGTCAGAGAACAACTAACTCCAGCTTCAAGACCACAGCGGTTTTCCCTTGTCCATCCCCTAGAGATGCATTCTTTACGGAAAGCACTAGACCAGCGTGGTTCTCCTGAGAGCCTCAATGGCCCTTCTGCTCTCCTTTCTTGACCACTTCCCACCCTTAGGCACAGAGAGGAAGAGGAAGGAGAAGGCAAGGTTGGCAGAATTTTCTCCAAGGACATCCTACAGGAGGAGGAGAACATGCTAGAGAAGGAATGCACTGTATGAGAGACTTCCTGGGAGGAGGATTTAACAATGGGGGCCTCATTAGTGGGCACGGTGGGTCCCAAGGTGTCGATGGCAGGGGATCTGTCTGATGACGCTCCGGGGGAAGCATGTTGGTAGTTTGACTTTTCCCTCAGGGGATACTGGTAGTTAGATTTCCTTGGGGGACAGTGGTGGTTTGACCTTCCCCTTGGGCGATCACTGGTGGTTTCACATCCTCCTTGGAGGGGTACTGCTGGTTTGAGGGCTTCTGTGACACCGAGGGAACTTGGATCTCTGAGAATTTGGGGGGTTCAGGCTGACTGGAAGGTGGCTGCTGTCCAGGGATTTCCCATGACTCATTTTCTACGTCAGGGACTGGTTCCTGATTATCTGTGGGGGGTAGAAAAGACATATAGATTCCTTTAGTGTCACTTTCCCAATCTGTGTTCGCTGTGTGGTGAGCAACTAGTCCTGTTTTAAACATTAGAACCACCCCTACTCCCTCAAGCTTGTCCTTCTAAACTTCCTCCCTCGACATTTTGGGCAAACACAGATGGCCTACCAATTCTGCCCGAGGCAAAGAGGGTACGGAGTCTCCAAAGGAAGCTCTGAAAAATTAGCAACTAAAGATTGTATATTTTATAATAATTATATATTTTATAATAAATGCTTTCAAGTCAGTTATAGAGAGAAAGGAACATCTTTCCACACTGGAATGGGAGCTTCAACTTGCTTGCCACTATATTCCTCGTGGCCAGGAAAATGTCACATACTAGGTGCTTGATGAAAATTTTTTTAAATGGATAAAACAAAGAAAAACATACTGAGTTAACAACGTAGTGAGGAATTATGGAGACCAAATCAAGACTGTGGAAATTCAAAAAGTGAAGCCCAGACCCAACTATACACTGTCTACAGGAAATTCACTTTAGCTACAAATACACAAATAGATTGAAATCAAAGGCTGGAAAAATAAATACCTTGTTAACACTGCTGAAGAGAAAGACAAAGTTGCTATTAATATCACACAAAGTATGCTTCAGAGCAAAGAATCTTACCAGGGGTAAAGAAGTTCATTTCCTAGTGATAAAGAGATCATTACATCAAGAAGACAGGTTCACACACCTTATTAGCAGTGTTTCAAAACACATGAAGCAAAGACCAATAAGGCTGCGAAGAGAAGGAAATCCACAATTATATTTGAAGATTTCATTACCCCATTCTCAATAAAAGAACAACAAGGCAGAAAATCAGTAAGATATAGAACGCCTGAAAAACCACTGGTTTGGGCCAAGATGGTGACGTAGGAAGATGCTGAACTCCCCTCTGCCACAGACACCTATTTACAGAGCAATTGCTCCTGAAGACCACCTGAGGGCTGACCGAACAGCTTCTTCACCGCAGAAGAAACCACACAGAGAACGGCAAGAGAGACTGAACTGCAGAGGCTGGGCAGGGGGTACAATACTGAGGGGCTGTGAGCTGATTCGTCTGCCCTGAGGCACAGAAAGAAGCCTTGGTTTAAAAGGGCAACGAGATATGAAGGAACTAGTCCTGGAACCCTCTCCAGGTCACAGGACCTGGCAAACGCCATGGTTTATGATTCTCCTCCACCTTGACAGTGTGGATGGAAGCAGGGTCTGGGCATCCTACCTGGCCTACTACCTCAGTCAGCCCCAGACCCCTACTCACACCAGCCTAAGGCAGCCCCCACCCCCACCCAGTGTCGTGCATACCGGGACAATCCTGGTCAGTGTCCCTTCAGCTACAGCCATCTTGCTAAGGTGACAAAGGTGCAGAGCACCCCGGAACATGCTAGCTCCACACCACTTTGACTCCAGACGACTTGCTAAAGTACTCCTGGCACAGAGCGCTGTGGGACCTCCTGGCTGTTGCCTGCCTCAGCTCTAGCTGCCCCACTGAGGCACCCCCTGCACTGAGCATCCTGGAACACAGTGGCTTGCACCTACTTCAGCTTCAGTCCGGTCAGGGCACCGACTGCATGGAGAATCCTGAGACAACCCTGGCCCATATCCCCTTCAGCTTTGGTCATCCAGAGATGTGCCCCAGCCAATATCCAGCCACAGCGCCAGCTGGCCAAAGTCACCAGGCACAGCCAGTCACCATACACAAGACCATTCCTTTAAGTTTAGAAGAAGTAGTTGTTCTGCCTATTCATAGAAACAAACACAAAGTCGAGTAAAATGAGAAGACAGAGGAATATGCTGCAAATGAAAGAACTACATGAAATAACCAATCTACCTGATGAAGAGTTCAAAGTAATGATCATAAAGCTGTTCAACAGCTTGAAGAAAATAGTTGATGAACTTAAAACATCAACAAGATAGAAAACATAAAGACCAGGGTTTAAGAACACAACAACTTAAATGAAAAATACACTAGAAAGAATCAGCAGATTAGAGGATACAGAAGAAAGGAGCAGTAATCTGGAAGATGGTAATGGAGGGCACTTGAGCTGAATAGCAAAAGGAAAAAAGAATTTTAAAAAATGAGGATAAGTTAAGAGGTCTCCTGGGGAACATCAAACGAACATTTGAATTATAGGGGTTCCAGAAGGAGAAGAGAGAGAAAGAGAAAGGCAGAAAACTTATTTGAAGAAATAGCCTAAAACCTTCTATAACCCAGGGAAGGAAACAGACATCCTGGTTTAAGAAGCACAAAAAGTTCAAAACAAGATGAACCCATTGAGGTCCACACCACGACACATGGTAATTTGAAATGTCAAAGATGAAAGGAAGATTAACAAGCAGCAAAAGAGAAGCAACTAGTAATGTACAAGGGAAACTGCCTAAGACGATCAGCTGATTTTTTATAAACTCTGCAGGACAGAAGGAAGTGGCATAATCTATTCAAAGTGCTAAAAGGAAAAAACATACAGCCTGTGAATATTATACCTGGCAAGATTATCATTCAGAATAAAGGCTAGAGAAAAAGTTGCCCAGAAAAACAAAAGCTAAAGAAGTCATCACCACTACATTAACCTTTCAAAAAATGTTAAAGGGACTTCTTTAAGTAGAAAAGGCCATAACTGCAAGAAACTTATGAGGAAAAAAAAAATTCATGAATAAAAGCAAACAGTAATGGTAGTAAAACAATCACTTGTAGTAAAATCAATTATATCTAGAATATTGGTTAAGAATGACAACATTTACATAAAATAAGTGACTATCAAATTAATACAGACCACTATATACTTAGAATGTTATATGAACTTCATGGTAGCCACAAACCTATAATACATAAAATCATCAGTCATAAGAAAGAATACTGGGAAAAAAAGGAACATAGACGAACTACAAGAAGCACCCATAAAACAATTAACAAAATGGCAAGAAGTACATAGCTATCAATGATTAAATGTACATGGTGTAAATGCTCTAATCAAATGCATAGGGTGATGGAACGGATAAAAAAAATCAAGACCTATCTATATGTTGTCTATAAGAGACTCACTTCAGACCTAAAGACACATACATTCCATG